AGAAAGGATCCACCGATTGTGGTCTATTTGCTATTGCAAGTGCATATGAACTAGGAAGTGGAAATATCCATTTTAATTACTAAGGATTGTTTGACCAGTCAGCAATGAGAAAACACCTGGTCGATTGCCTGGAAAAGGAAGACATCTCGTCGTTCCCTTGTGCTCGAAAAACAACTGCAGTAGTCAACAACAACGAAAAACTGTTAATAATACAAACTCATTGTGCTTGTCAATTGCCAGAGTATGGTGACATGGTGCAGTGTGATCTTTGTAACATGTGGTACCATCTAACATGTACCAATTTAAGCCAAACTCCTGGCGAAGATGAGGAATGGCTTTGCGAGTCATGTGCGCCGCTTTGCTACTGAACTTTGATAACTATAAGAACTTATATATAAACTTATATATAAACTAAGAACTTATAAGAACTTATGAACTTATTAACTTTTAAGAACTTGTATATAAACTCATGTGCAGCTTTATTAAGTAAACTTTGATATTTATATGTTAGAGTTATAAACCGAGGAGGTTTATAACTGATATATTGCCCCCGAGGACGCGCAGCATCCAAGGGCAATATATCAGTCATAAACCGACTTTCGAGGTTTATAACTAACTTATATCTCATTTGTGGAGGTTTTCTAACATATTTTGTCATTTTCAAAAAATTTTTATTTAAAATTCTCGCGTTTTGTCGAAAACTTTGATGTAATTATTTATTCAAGGTATATTAGCTAGTTATAAACCTCGGACGATCAAAGAAAACCGAGACAAATGAGATATAAAAGAACTTATAAACTCATGTGCACCACTTTATTAACTAGTAGTAGTGAACTTTATTTAACTGATCTTTGATATATAATATATAAGAAATAATAAACTTAACTTATTTATCACAATATTTATTAATCATGATCATGTGAACTCGGCCTCGTTGTCTAATTGTCAATTAGAATGCGTTTTAAGTATTAACGAAAATCGTTTCCTTTAAGTACTAGATAAAACATGAGCAGCCGATCTGTATCTGATACAGGGGCGGCGCTACAGGGGGGTGTGGGGGGGGGGTGGAACACCCCCCACTCATCAGCTAATCGGCAAATTGTTATCTCAGTCGGCAAAACTGGATTGGCTAAAGATAACCACTGAAGAAACCAAAATTGACCACCTGAATAATTGAATTCAAACCGAATATCACGAATAGCATGCATCAAAGAAACCACACATGCAGCAATGCGAATTTTTTCGAATACAGTATCTTCACTTCTGGCAGCTAGTCCAATAACATAATATTATTGAAATCATAATTAGGTAATTAAATTTGTTTGGTGGTGGTTGTTGTTGTTGTTGTTGTTGTTGTTGTTGTTGTTGTTGTTGTTGTTGTTGTTGTTGTTGTTGTTGTTGTTGCTTATTATACTTTCTATAAAAGAGGCAATAAAGTCTGTTTTCCACTAGCGAATTTTCTCGCACGAAGCGACCTTTTCCCTTTGTCGGTATCACTTATCACGTCAGCAAGACGTGGCAAAATCAGTCCTCGAAAACGAGGTCGGCATTCGGCAATGCTGGGCTAAATGCAAATTTTTGCCCACCTTAATTCAACCAAAGTAAGAATTTTTTATGCTGATAGGTTTTAAAATGTCAGCGATTATAGAATTCGATTCGAAGTTCGATTAACTGAACACACTACGGTGTAAGGTTTAAAAACTGACGGGTATTGTGTATATACTTTAGATGTTTGAAGATCAAATTTCGCACGTCTGGAGTTAAAATTTGGCTCCAACTTTCGAATTTTCCGGTTGGAGGTAACGTTCCAGTTATATTCCGATTTCAATGATTCGTAAATGCGTGATTAATAGTGCTCCAAGACGTGGAACAGATTTTAAGAAATGCCGAGATTTTGACTTTTCGAGGGCTGCCAAATGGATGCCGACAGGAATTTTGGGTTTTCTGATTATGCGTGTCTCAGAATGATGCAAATGCCATTTCCGGGATTCAAATTTTAAAATTTTCCGTGCCTTCTGCATGTGCCTCCCCCCCAATATTTCATAAAATGTCCGCCACTTGCATACACGGTGGCTTAAAAGGTCTTAAAACTGTTTATTCTACCGATAAATAAAGGGTTTTTTATTGACTGGGATTTCAATAACTCGGACTGAGATTTCTAATAAGAGGGTCCTGAAGGGAGGGGGGGGGTCCCAATCCCATTTCGCACCTGAAATTTTGGCAAAATCTCAGTCCCAGTTGGATTTTTATTAGAAATCCCAGTCCCAGTTATTGAAATCCCAGTCAATAAAATCCCTTTATTTATCGGTAGAATAAACAGTTTTAAGACCTTTTAAGGAAGTGGCGGACACTTTATGAAATATTAGGGAGGGGAGCTCGTGCCAAAGGCACGGAAAATTTTTAAATTCGAATTCCGGAAATGGTATTTGCGGTATTCTGAGACACGCATAATCAGAAAACCCAGATGCCTGTTCGCAGGTAGTGCTGTGAATAATATAGTTAACAACAAAAATCATGACCAAAGACACCAAAAACGGATCAAAATTGTATTTTAAAATACTCAAAACGCAGAAAAATTGGGAATCGACTCGCATTACCTCAATCCCACTCCCATTTTTAAGGACTTCATTTCCCATTCCCAGTGGCCAAATCCCAGTCCCAGCAACCCAAATCCCATTTTCCCAGTCTAAAAATAGATCAATCCCAGTTCCCATTTTACCCCTTCAGGGCCCTCTAATAAAAATCCAACTGGGACTGGGATTTTGCCAAAATTTCAGGTGGAAAATGGGATTGGGCCCCCCCCCCCCCCTTCAGGACCCTCACTATAGGCTAATGACTCGGCAAAATTACCAAACAACAGTCGGCAAAAGATCACTCACACCCCCTCACTCGAAGAGGGTTAGCGCCGCCCCTGATCTGATATACAATACCAATACCACAATACCATATATGCGTCAAAATGTCCTTTTTCAGATTTCAAGGCTTGGCTTTTATTCCATTCTAAATAACTGTAGTACAAGGGTCCACACATGACCCCGGGAAAACTTGCCACTATCTTACTGATAACTCTAGTCAATTTTGATTTGTCTGATTTAAGCAATGTCTCACAATCCTGTTTAAGGCTATTAGCCTTATCTCTTGTTAGTCGGATTGTCATTTTTACTGTGTTTATGAGAAACCCTAAAGTAACTATCTTTTGTGAGGGGACTAGGATACATTTTGTTGGATGCACAACAAACCCCAAGGAATCGAACAATACAATAGAATCGATCACATTTGCTATGCATTGATTATAAGTTTTTCCTTGCAAGTAACAGCCATCAATATGTACAGTTGAAATATGCCCCCAATTTATGCAAAGTAGCCAAAACTGGTTTTAATATTTTAGTAAATATTCTTGGTGCACTAGATAGACCATTTGGTAAGCAGGTGAACTGGTACCTGGAGCCTTTCCATTCAAGTAGAAGAAATTTTTTATCATGACCTTTAACTGGTATTGAATAATACGCATTTTTTAAATCTAATGCTTTGAAATGTGTAAACACCACTGACTCATTGAACTTTTTAAAATTAAGTATAAGTCTGTGGGACCCATCTGCTTTTGGTCATAAGAATACCTTAAGTTGGAGGCACTTTCCCAATGACCTCATTCTCCACAAGCTTACCAATGGCTTCATCGACTAGATGGAGTTCATGAGGTTGGAATTTCGATACTGGCGCTATTTTTTGGATTGGCACCTCAGTCAAGTCTATCTCCACGTGTATCACTCCTGCTTGCTATCTGCCGACGGCAGGAGTTGCTACAATATTTAATACAAGAAATCCTTATGTCAAGTTTAAAAAATTATATACCAATTTAGACTTACAAAAGTGTATCAGTGTATGTAGATATTTATTTGGCTGCATTTTATATAACCTATGTTATGCTACAGCAATTTTATTAATACCGTAGCCACATAAGCGTACAGATTTGCACCCAGAGTGCCAAGCATAGTGGTCTGTGGTCCGTAACGCTATTATAATAGATAACAGAATGCTAGGTGTAGCTTTATAGTGTAAATGACGTTAGGCCACATAAAAAAAAAGTTGGTTAGCGTCCTTAGCTTTTGCCAAAAAGTGGGTGGGCGGGCGCTTTTTTAAAATTTTTTTACTAATTTTTAATGCCTTGGTTTTACTCGCTGTTAGGTCCAAAACTGGATTTTCTTGTGCAGTACAGATATTTTTTTATATATTTCAAAATATGATTCATGCCGTCATTTTCGCACGCAATTTCGCAAATTATTAACACAATTGACTACAGTCAACAGAAATACTACATATATTAGAGCCTGTTGATCAATAAAAGTTGGGGTTTTTTAAATAAAAAATTTAAAAAATCCTGAGCGGGTCCTTTTTTGTGGGTGGGCGGGGACGCTAACCAACTATTTTCTTTATGTGGCCTTACAGCACTGCACTGTTATCGGTTAGAATCCGAGTTTGTTAGAGCATTGCACCAGAATCGCAGGGCCATGGTTGCATTTTTCACAACTGTTCCTGGTTAGGTTTAATAAATGTATATAAATTTCCACTCGATAATTTGCATCTACAAGACCCTTCAACTATTATTCAATTGAGTGAAATCACTGAGATGCCAACAAAATCTTGGTATTCAACAGTACACTACAACAATTGTTGATCTTATGCAATTTGAAGTGAAAGATCATATTAAAGAAGTGTATTGAATTGTATACATGATATTTTGCAGTTTTGCCACTTGATTATATTTAGCTAAATTTTCAGTTAAGTTGAAAAATATATATAGTGAAATATAATTAAATTGATTTCAAAAGGTTACAAGATTTTTTCTAATTTTCCTCTAAGGGAAGCCTCACATATCGATTTTGTACCCAAGAAACATCATATGTTCGTTGGGGGGGGGGGGTTGCAGCTTTGACGTTTCTCTGTAAGACATCATGGAAAAATCTATACTTTTTTCGAAAAACAAAACAACTTGATACAAACATCAATATGGTGGCCTAGCGTTGCCATAGAAAATTTATAAAAAAACTAATAAAAAAAGTATTTTAAATTGAAAAAAAAAATAAAACAAAATCATTTTAAAATGAAATGAAAAAACATTACACTAATAATGAATGTATGAAAAATTTTAGCGAGCCTAGCGTTGCCACAGTATACCAAAATTCTTTGCGAGAACAAGGAATGTTCACACATTTTAATCGGTGTTACATTAGGTATAAAACTGGCCGTTTGAAACATGGCGTTCATGCGAAATGATGATTGGGAAAATGACAAAGATTTAAAAGATGATTTAGAAAAATACGTTCACCAAGGTCTTAGACGAAAGGAGGTATTAGATTTCGTCGAAAGAGATTATTCACAGTATGCATGGAGCCTTCGATCGCTCGACCGAAGAATGAGGCATTTCGACATTTATTATACGGACAAGGATCAAGTGATTAATCAAGTGATTAATGCCGTGGAAAAGGAGGTCAGTGGTCCAGGCAAATTGCTTGGCTATAGAGCAATGCATCAGAAGCTGCACCAAGAGCACGAGCTAAATGTACCTCGTGATTTAGTCCATGCTGTAATGCAAGAGGTTGATCCTGAGGGCTTAGAAGAAAGATGCGTTGGAACTGGAAAAAAGAAAAGGAAGGGGACATATTCAACTAAGGGAACGAACTGGGTTCATTCACTAGACGACCATGACAAGCTGATGGGTTACCAAAACAGCACGTACCCATTGGCTGTGTATGGTTGTTTAGATTCTGCCAGTCGCAAAATTCTTTGGTTGTGTATTTGGGTCAGCAACTCGGATCCTAATTTGATTGGATATCAGTATTTGCAACATATCTTTGAGACTATCTTATCTTCGACTTGACAAAGGTACGGAAACAGGGACAATTCATGCCTTTTTGCGCCAGTAGTTATGATGGAGACCCATGTGATACTATTCTGTATTGCCCATCAACATCCAACCAGGTTAGTTGATACAATGACACATATTACTGTAAAGTTGGCCAAGATTTCATAAGAAATCAGCCACATAACAAACTTTCAAGATCTAGAATATCATTTCCAACATCCGTATTCTGTATACTTATGAAGTTTTCGTGATAGATTGTACTCATATATTCTATATATGTTAGATTGAACGCTGGTGGAAATAAATTCACGAACGTTTGGAGAAATACTTCAAAGAAATCCTAGGGTGGCTGAAAGACAATCAGCATTATGAACCGGATAACGAAACTGACAGGTAAATGAACCAATGAACTATAATTAAACAATAGAATTAAGAATTGATTGGAATACTTTAATTATTTAGATCACTACTGGCATTTCTTTTAATTCGAATATTACAAAAGCAGCTTGATATCTTCAAAGAAACAATCTGGAATAGCCATCGAATTAGTCGCCAAAAAGATACCAATCTCCCCCATGGTGTGCCAAACCATATTTATAATTTCCCAGAAGAACATAGTTTAGAAGAATGTGGTAAGGAAGCATGTATTGATTTGTTTGGTTTTGCCACATAAAATGGAAATTTAACCAGGGATGGATCCAGCATGATCTGGTAGGTGGGTGCTCTGGTGCCGACTTGTGTCGGTCACATGTGCCGCCCGGCCATCAACTACTGTATTTGAATTGTAATTGTTGTTCACAGTTCACTTATCATCATGTTATTACTCAAATTACTGTATCTCATTTTGTCTTTTTTGCTTTATCATAAAAAATAGCAACCCCCCCCCTGCACCCCCTCTGGCCAGGGCTAGGGAAATCCATCCCTGAATTTAACACATTAGAGACTAGAGAGAATCCATGCATAAAGGTTACAGTACCATGTACCATACTGTCATCTATATTTTTGATACTTTTAATGTTAACAAAAATCAATTACATATCCATAGGCATTCCAGTTACAGTTGAACAACTAGAAGAAGTGGCCCAGGTTTCTGGCGTCATGGATAGGGAAGATGATTTTTTATCACCAAACGTCCGTGCTGAATGTGAAAGAATTATTCCTTATCCTAAAGAAGTTGAACCTAATAAATAGACTAACATTATAGAGAATAAGTGTAGGAAGTTTGTACTAAATATGAGATAAAAAGTGCCATTTTGGTACAGTAACAGGTCAGATAACAAATTTTTATTTTTAACAGTTAACTCTGCTACAAATATTAATTCATATAATTTATCGAATGTTGTGTCCTTCAGCTGCACCAAACAAAACAAACCACTTGAACAATTGAAAATAAACCACAATATAAACTAAAACTCAGTTGTCAAAATTAATTAATTGTCCCCGCACTAGGAAATATAATTTATATTGTTTTGAAGCTTTGATCTTATAGTTAAGAAGAAATCAACCTCAAATCAGGGAGCTGCACTAGTTTGCAGAACCTGTTACAAACATGATGAAATACAAAGTTATCGACAGCAGTGTTTGACAGATTCCCAGCACAGAACAACACCTCACCATCTTCAACTAATTCTGATGATGCAATCTCAGGATCATAAAGCTTTACTCCACAACCTCGGATATCTACAAGCATCAGCTTCCGGTTGGACTTTTCGAATGAGAAATGTGCTAAACATTCTGCCTTCATGCCATTCTTGATATTCTCGTTATCTTCACAAGGAATCCCAGTGTTGTTAAAATACTTAACAAATGATCCTGGAATAAACTCTTCAATGGTTATAAACTAATCATTAACTTTACCCAAATAAATTTCTTGGTACATCACTATCTGTCCAAATTCATCTTCACACTTCAGTTCCGACACTTTTTTTGCTAATTGTCGACAAAAATTTTCTGCCAGAGTGTGCATTTGCACGACTTTCCTAGTGTGGCTTTCAGGTGTTTCCTTCATGTTTTCAATGACTTCTAGTGTGTTCTCAAGGTACTTCTTCACCACCCATACTTTTTTCAAACCTCTTTATCTTTGCAAATGCTTTATGCGCTGATTGAAAACCACCTGCAAGAGAATAATACTAATCACCATCACTGCATGCATTGGGCTATTACATTTAATACCTGCCCCCCCCCCCCTGTCGAGGACCTCAAATTTCCGGTCACTTTTCCAGATGGGTAATGTATTCCAGAGGGGCAATTCCAAAGGAGGTTGAAGACCTTTCCATAAAAGTCTTGAAAAGCACTAAGCAGAAGCAGCAGGGGGTGCGGGTATTAAATGTAATAGCCCATTTGGGAGCTTGGTTAGAATTAAAATATTAAATAAATTGTTTTTAAGTTCTGATGTCTTCAGGGCCTACCAGAGAAATTCGGGGGTGGCAAATTTTTATTTTGGGCCCCCTATTTTTCCCCCAAAATGTTGGCGAGCATGGGTAAAACCCTTTTTTGGAACAAAATCTGCAAAATTTAGCTTTAGAAATTTTTTTCTCACACCATTCATATCAAAAAAACTTTCCAAATTATTGTTTTTTTATTTTGCAAATTTGGGGGCCGCCCTTACATTGGGGGCACAGGGCAAATAGTCCCCTCTGCCCCCACTGAAAGGCCCTGGATGTCTTGACAAACTATTACCCATACAGTCGAACTTCACAGACTGTAACACCACAGTACCTGAGGCAAAAGGTTCTCTGGAAATATGGAAAGCGAGGATGTTTATGTTGATAAAACATAAGATAAGATAAAACATATAAGTTATTAAAAATATTTTTCCTCTTAGGCCGTTAATTAATTGTTGTTTATTTTCTTTGCTTTCTATTTTGCACAATAATGTATCTTTTCGACACTTACTATGTACTATAAAGTATATATTCTAATCAACACCATACCTGCCTAGATTAGTTTTTAACTACTTGTGGGTTAGTGTAGTGTGTAACTTGTTTGTTTTTAACTTGTAATAAATTGAATTGAAAAATTGAATAATAAATTGAATTGAATTTGTTTCTGTGTCATATATAATAATGTTGTAAAATAACTTGCTGTCATATATCATAGCTGGACACACTGGTCAGGGGGTAAAGGGTGAAACTGGCACTTCATAGCTTTTTAAAGTTTCCGCAGAGATATGGGCCCAGTTGTTTGGTCGATATTAAGGGCAACATTTGTTTCATACGTTTTCCCCTCCTGTTTTTCCTTTCTTGCAATGCTGTGGATTCTCTTTGTATGTAACTGGTTTCTACGCTTTTTAAATTCAAGAGAATTCTTTCTTTGACAATCTTTGTCTTTTCCATTTCTAGGGTATATCTGGTACAAGTCAAGCCTGGATCTATCCCCAAGGCTTCTAGAGTTCTGCAGACATAACCGTATCCAGCATTTGTTTGAACCACTGCACAGGCAACACGAAAATCATTGCTCTCACTTCCTCTGTAGAATCGAATTTTTGGATTCTTTGAGCCTACAGTACTGTTGAATGACTCATTTCGTTGCGAGTTTGCAGCAGGAGAAAGTTTTGTAATTACATTGTCGGTGTAGAACTGGGCAAACAGATCTTCAAGGACAGATTTTAATGGCTGTCCATGCAAATCTTTTCCATATGGAAGGTTGGCATGCCTGTAATTGGATGAATCTTGTTTCCATCCACACCATGACTCGCTACAACAGGAATGGTCGCCAAATGCATGAGGGACAATACATTTCATTGATGACTGCATGGACTTTGGATCTCCTTTGTTTTGGCCAATTACAATGGAAAAACATTTGACCAGATATTCAATTACTTTTGATGACAATGGTGAACAGTCTGTGAATTTTGCCGTTTTGCTGAGGTTGTATAACCCGGTTGTGAGAGACCGTTTCATGTGGATAATGTCGCTGAATTTCTCTACTCCGCAAGGAACCTGTTGGTGAATATAGCTTTCTGTTGTTGAATCATCATCGCCTGTGTATGTTGAATACTTTACACCTTGTTTGGGAGCATTATTGAAGAGTTCAACAGCAGAAATTGGCTCCATAGCTTTTGATGAACCTGTGTGATTCTTTCTACAGTCATGTTTGGTTGGGTTGTTTTCATCCGACGAGCATGATCACATGTTCTGCATGTTTTGTTTTTTGTGGCATAATCCAAAATTTTCCCAGTATGTAATCCCATAACTGCTCCTTGCCCAGTATTGGAGTTGAACCCTTTCCCTCGTTTCTGCCAACCCATATCATATGAACAAGGGACAGGTAATAAATTATTTTCATCTGGTTGTGCTGTGGCAATTGCATGGTTTTTTTCATTTGTTGTCACTTCTTTGCATGTGAGATGGGCCACCTTCTCAACTGCTTTCCCTGTTTCCCTTTCTCTGGTTTTAAAACATGCTCTACTCATAGGTGGGATGTTCAATATAGACATTGCACTGTTCAGATGTGTCTGGCCAATTCCTGTGTGAAGACAAGCTAAAGCAGCCTTGGTGTTAATGTCGTATGCCATTGGGCCAAACTTTCCAGATTTGTGCATGGAAGATGTCTCAATTGAGTTTTCTACCGAACAAAACTGGCATTTTACTCTTAGCTTACTTGCTAATCCATATTGTTTTTCATCCAGGACATTGGCCAGTGAAAGAGGACCTTAAATTAGGAAATAAATTATTTGATTTGCTTATATACAAGCTGTTAACATGTGTCCATATTGCACATATATTTTTGCAAGGAAATCAAACAAATTACACAAACAAAAAAACATTTTTAGTACGATATACAATAAATACCCATATAAAAACCCAGTATTATTAATGTTACAAATGTAGGGTTTTACTGTTACTATATATACAACTTGCTTGTTTATTATATTAACATTTCTTTATGACTGTGTTCTTGTGTATACATTTCCATACATTTTAAATAATACAACTAATAAACTTCCAAATAGTTAATTCAGCTGTAAAAGGTTGAAAATAAAAGCCAGGAGTGAGGGGCTAAAGGTTTTTGTGTCCATTTGTATTTTTACATTTTTGGCAGAATTGACATTGATGTAGTTGGTCCTTTAAAACGTCAATATCGACTATTCGAGCTCCATGGGGCCTATTTTTTTCGATATTTTCTTGTTCCTATTAAAAAAACACTTTATTATAAACTAAGCCGGAGTCGTAGACATGCAAAAAAAATTTCCTGAGGTTTTTTCGTACATACCGATGTCGCTCTTGTATAATATTTCGCAAATTTCGCTGGGACGTATGTATTCGCCGTTTCACTGTCAAGTTGTCTCTTTCTCAACCAAGAATGCAGTCCTTCGTGAAGTTTTGCAGAATTACTCAGATTTCTTGTCGATAATTTTCCAAATTTGCCGGAGGATAAACGATTATTAAACCGAAAGGCCATGTTTGTTTTGCTATTACTGTAATTTACTTGGGATTTAAATCTGCCGCTCAAATCCCGCAAGTTTCCCGTACACGCGAAATTTTCCCGCATATCTGATATTTCCACGCATTGTCCACGCACATACAATTACGTCATTTCGTTACCAGTCCCATGCTTAAACAACTGTAGGGAGCCACCTTAAACAAGTTCACCTGCCGACTATATGGAGATAAAGAATCAACAACCGTGGACAACTGCAGGTACACACTGTTTTCCTCTGGAAAATGCTCAGATGATGCATTGCACTATTGCCTCCAACCCGTGACAGCCTTGTTCAACATATCCTCAGAGCGAATTTTCAAACATCATCATGGTGCCAATGTTTAAGCGCTGAAGTTATTGTCCCTCTTCCAGTTGATAACGATTGGAATCTCGCAAATGGGGAGCTGACAATTGTTTGGATGACACGCCCTTCTGCCCCGCAATCGTTGCTTGAGTGTGTTGAGTGCAGATGCAAGACAGGATGCAATTCAATGCGTTGTTCCTGCAGAAAAGCGGACTTAAAGTGCACAGACTTGTGTGGATGTTCGGATTGCCAGAATTGTGTTGCAGCAAATATCGAAAACGAGGTATTGGATGCAGAAGACGAACTTGAGCTCGAGTCAGGATTGGAATGTAGTGATGACGATTTGTGACAATGTTATGTGACATTGGCCTTGTACACTTAGATCGCGATCAAAGTGAGAAGTGTAGATACCATGCAGTAAAATGATAGCCAGATATTTTCTATATTCATTCGATGATACGAAGTTAAAACAAAACCACGGTAAGTACAGTTCGTACTTTTTTACGGTTTTTGCCGGTCTCCGATCCTATATCTATGCAATCTCGTACCCAGAGCAATGCCTGTGCGCGGGCGAGGAAAGCATTGGCTGTGGGGAAATTGACAACAAGAACCCCTAAATTTAGGGGTTCCGGTTTTTTATCGGCATGCACTATTGATAAATGTTAAACCAATCACAGCACAAGAAAAATTCAATTTCCCCAGAGCCATTGCCTTCCTCGTCTGCGCTCATGGCATTCTTTATATCAGAAAGGGAACTTGTAGTGACTAGCATGGTATACCTGAAGCACTACAACAGTTGTATGTGTACGAAACAGTATGAAGTTTAAAATTACAGATACATGCACTATGGGCACTTGCATAGAAATGATTTTAATATGCAAACATGCAACAGTACCAGGAGGACAAAACTGATTCGAAGTGAATGGATTATAATTATTTACAAATACTCAAATTCTTCCTTGAAAATTCAAATTTTGTGCATGCAGGTACCTATATTTGAACGAGTTGTCAACAGGCATGCCATCATTCAAAAGACGAAAGCAGCCACTTTCAATCACTTTAATATTATTATAGATGCCGGGTTTGAATGCTCACTCCTGAGTCAGATACATGTGCATATTTACAAAATAATATTAATAATTTAAATAACAATTATTAAATACGATTTTACACTTACCATGTTATTTTCCTTCATATTTGGCAATGTTTTGCCTCGTGAAATAGCCAAAAATCCAGTAAAATTCTGTTATTTGTCTTCGCAGATTTTGGGAAACTTTTAAAACCAAGATGGCGGCGCAGCATTTTTACGGGAAAGCCTGGTCAATAAGTTATGAGCGCTTTTCGAAAAAAGATTTTGTAAAAAATCTCCGCTTAACGGCGGGTACAAAACGCAGGTTGCAGGTTGGAATTTCGCAGGTTGGGAATTTTGCAGGTTGCAATTTTGCAGGTTGGGGGAATTTTGCAGGTTGGAATTTTGCAGGTTGCCAGTAACTCTGCAGGTTGATGATGCAAACTTAAAATTACACCACTATAAAGTATTTTAGTATAATTTAATTGTGTACTTATTGCAGTCTGACTCCTTGTCTGCGTTTTTGATTTCAGCCTATCCTACTGCCATGTTCCAAGGCTCTGCTCTGTATAAGGCTCGTGGCCATCACCTCCGTGAAAACATTCAAAATGTCAGATTTGTTTGGACCGAATGGGGACGAATGTCTTGATCGTTGCGAGGCGTTGTTTGTTTGGACAGGGGGACGAATGTCTTGATCGTTGCGAGGCGCCTACATGACGTGGCGGCGTTTATACTAAAATGTTGTTAAAAGTTGACTAACATTCTCGACTAACGACACGGTAATTGGGGGCTTGACTGGACTTTTCGTAACTGGGTGCAGAGGAGAGACACCTCATTCAGGAATTTTCTGAACTGCCGCCACGTCATGTAGGCTCCTCGCAACAATCGAGATATTCGTCCTCTGGAAGGTCCAAGCCAATCTAGTCATTTTGAATGTTTTCACGGGGGTAATGGCTACTCCTTGGAGCAGAGGCTAGGAACATGGCAGCAGGATAGGCTGATATCAAAAGCGTCGACAACAAGTCAGACTGCAATAAGTACACAATTAAATTATACTAGAATACTTTATAGTGGTGTAATTTTCAGTTTGCATCATCAACCTGCAAAGTTCCTGGCAACCGGCAAAATTCCAAACTGCAAACTTCCTAACCTGCGAAATTCTAACCTGCAACCTGCGCTTTGTACCTGCCGCTCCTCTTAATGTGTTCACTAATTTTCCAATGGAATGAGGTATGTGCCCTAGAGCCAAAGACTTCCTTTTCATTATACATTTTTACAAAGGACTAATTTTTCTCCTTAAAATATTAATGATTCATTTCAAGGCGAAAATTTTCTTAATACATAAATGTCCTCCATAATTAGTTAAATTTGGGCTAATTATACTGTAAGAATTACGTACACAAAACATAAAAATAAAAAAAACCCTGGAGTGTGTAAATTTAAATTTTAGTACTATACAATCTATACAAAATTAACAATGTGCACTATACTCTGCAGCACATATGCATTTTACATCACTCACTTTTCCATGTCAACAGTGGCTGCTGGTGCCCACTGAACATTCCCCACCATTTTCGAATTTGAAACAATCAGCTGCTCTTTTAAGTAATGCTGAATACATTTCATCGGTGCGACCGGGGGAAACTGGCGACGAAATTGATCTAAGGATGCAACCATGTTTGACTTGTCTTCATTCTCGATACTACAAATTACGACCAAGTGATATCCTATATAAGAAAGGGTATAATTACAGTGAAAACCTTATCAATAGTGACTAGTGACTAATTTAACACTTAATATTAAAGTCGCTAGTACTGTATCTTAAAATGTTTAGCTTGATGGCAGTAATTATTTTATTCACCATATTCTAAGGATACAACAACCACTCAACTTGAAGCGATTACTATACACATATTTCAGACCTAACCATGCAGGATGCAACTATTGGCCTCCGGAAGGAATTAAACTTGCGGCACTGTGACTCCGGTGCATTGCTCTGATTACTGAGCTACAACGTTTCGTTAACTTTGCCACAAATTCCATGTATCTACCCTAGTTATATGCTAGGGTGATGCCAACGTGTGATATAAAGCTAAGTAACCTAGTAAGTACACTCTTTATTTAATGAGGGTAGCACAGAATAGTTACAAACTATGACCAAGCGATATAATGTAACAAACGTGTGAGATATGGCTAAATTGTCTAAATTTACGGGGATCTCGCTCAATAAAACTGAACGTTGCAAACTACGCAGATTCCAGACCTTTATATACAATCACGAGAGAATGGCTTTACTCTATGGTCAAGTAAATTAAATAATAACAAAAAACTAGCTTTCCAAAAACGAAAAGTGGAACCTATTTTTTTCGACATTTATGAATCGACCACTGCATTTTCCTCGATCCAACGGTGCGGAACCCGGGGCGAGGGTTCCGGGCGGAAGCCCGGGGCGAGGGTAATATAATAATATATAAAGATTTATACAGCGCTTAAATTATATAAAATATTCCAAAGCGCTTTACAACAATGAAGTTATACTATATACAAGTAGCTAAAATATTAAGAATTAAGGTATAGGTGTCTATAAATCTAAAAGTTAGAATCGAAAGCTTTCTTAAAAAGGAAAGTCTTTAATTGAGATTTAAAACAGTCAATTGTTTTACTATTTCTAATACCAGAAGGTAGCATGTTCCAAATTGACGGCGCTGCATGCACAAATGCTCGATCACCAAGAGTCTTGGCTCTAGTTTTTGGGATAAAAAGTAGTCCCTGATCATCAGATCTCAGTTGGTAACAGCAGTTCGGTTTTTCTAACAACAGTTCCATAATGTAGCCTGGCGCCATCCCGTGGAGAGCTTTATATACCAGAAGTGCAATTTTAAAATCAACGCGAAACATGACAGGCAGCCAGTGAAGGTGCATCAGGACAGGGGTAATATGAGCACATCTTGGTATAAGACACGTCACTCTAGCAGCGGCATTGAGAACTCGTTGAAGACGCTGAAGTTGGTATTGGGGAATGCCGAACAAGAGAGAATTGCAGTAGTCCAAGTGTGACGTCACAAAGGCATGTACGAGCGTTTTAGTTGATTCGATAGAGAGAAACTTCCTTATTTGTCGGATGTTGTACAAGCCCCTAAATGCTTTGCTGCAAACCTTGCCCACATGGACATTCATCGACATATGTTCGTCAAACCACGAACCTAGATTTCGGACTTCTTGTACAGGTTTTATATCAGCATCACCAACTTCAATCGAGTCGATTGTAACCTTAGACAGCTGCTGGCGAGTTCCAATTATCAAGAATTCCGTTTTAGTGTCATTGAACATTAATTTATGTGAAACTAACCAAGCACGAACTTCGACGATGCAATCATTAATAGTTTGAATAGCTTGGTCTTGGACAACGGGTGACTCAGGACGGAAAGATAAATAAAGTTGAGTGTCATCTGCATACCCATGGGAAGAAGGTAAGTGCCTGTTAATAATCTGGAACAGTTGAGACACGTATAATAGGAAAAGGACCGGTCCAAGACAGCTTCCTTGTGGTACTCCACAGTTCAACGTAAAATTGGCGGAAAACTTTTGCTTAATATTAATACGCTGCTTTCTACAGGAAAGAAACGACTTAATCCACTTTAAGGCATTTCCGATCACACCAAATTCTAACTTCAATATATCCATCAGAATTTCATGGTCAATGGTGTCAAAGGCGGCACTCAAATCCAAGAGCACTAAAAGAGTTACTTTCTGTTGGTCCATGTTCATAAGGATATCATTGTGGACTCTTAGGAGAGCTGTTTCGGTAGAGTGAAATTGACGATATGACGATTGGTTGTTAGGAAGAGGAGCATTATCAGCACAATGCTCAAATAACTGGCTAACAACTGCTTTTCCGTAGCTTTAGAAACGAATGACAGGTTACTGACGGGCCTGAAGTTCTCAAAGACTAGATCAAGACCGTATTTTTTTAGAATTGGAATAAGAATGGCAACTTTCCATGCTTCTGGGACGTGACCTTCACTTAACGACAAGTTGATCATTTTCATAATGACAGGTGTTAACTCACTGGCACATAATTTCAGAAGCCATGTTGGGATAGGATCAAGGTTACATGTTGCATTCGACGACTTCATGATTATGTTATGGACTTCTTCTTCTGACAGGAGCTTAAATGAGTCTAATTTGATATCAGGTAAACGATAATCTACTAATGGTGGGTCTACTACAACGTTTTCAATGTCATTTCTAATTAGCTCAATCTTTCGACAGAAATATTTTCAGAACTCATCAGCCAGTTTACGTGAATCATCATGTGGAGGCAAGGAGTTTTCTTGAGGTGTGTTGCAAAGTGAAGACACAACCTTAAAAAGTTTTCTTGAATCTCCCGAGCATTGATCGATAAGATCAAAATAGTATTTATGTCTAGCATTTTTCAAACTGGTAGCATACTTGTTACGCGCTTGGCGATAAGCGTCTTTATCATTTTGGCAATTTGATCGTAGCATTACTTTCTCCAGTTTTCTGCGTTTGGCCTTAATACGTTTACGTTCTTCACTGAACCATGGTACTCTTGGTTTGACAACCACTATCTTTCTTTGTAAAGGGGCATGTTTCTCCAAAATATGTGATAGCGTATTATCATAATGTTTCACCAAATCATCTAGATTGGAGCATGGGTCGTTACACAGTTTGGAATCAGTGATGTCAGCTTTGAAGGCCTGAAGATTCAAATGATTTGTCTTACGAAACTGAAAAATTACGTAGTCCACTGTGAAGTTGTCCTTCATGGAGGCCATGATCTGACCATCATTGACACAATCACTAGGTCTGCAAGAGAACTTCCAATAAAATCGCCAAGTTTTAATTAATTAACGTTACAAATAAACATTGTACGCGTTTTCCATGTACGCGTTTTCCATGTACGCGTTTTCCATGTACGCGTTTTCCATGTACGCGTTTTTCATGTACGCGTTTTCCATGTACGCGTTTTCCATGTACGCGTTTTCCATGTACGCGTTTTCCATGTACGCGTTTTCCATGTACGCGTTTTCCATGTACGCGTTTTCCATGTACGCGTTTTCCATGTACGCGTTTTCCATGTACGCGTTTTCCATGTACGCGTTTTCCATGTACGCGTGTACGTGTACGCGTGTACGTGTACGCGTGTACGTGCACGCGTTTTCCAGACAACCCTAAAGAAATTAATACTAGACTCGTGTACCAAAACAATCTTTTCACTTAACGGACATCTTTATAAACAAATCGACGGGGTTTCTATGGATTCACCCTTAGGTCCGACATTATAGCTAACATTATCATGACGGAATTTGAACAAGAAATTGTTAAACCTCTCATTAATTCAGGACTAATAAGATTTTACAAACGTTATGTTGATAACACCCTTATTCTTATGAAACCATCTGACGTACAACTAATTCTTACTAAGTTTAACTCTTTCCATCCTAACTTACAATTCTCCGTTGACGAATTCAGCGCGCGACAATGACATCCATTTCCTTGACATCCACATCCACATGCACCCATCTGGAACTTCTGTCTATACAAAGCCCACTCACTGGTCAATATTCCTATATATCAAGCATCACACCCTGGTCAAGAGAAATTGCTTGGATCCGCGCTCTCGTAAGTCGCGCCTACAAAATATGCAGTAATGCCACTCTCCTGAACAACGAATTAAAACAATTAAATCCAAAATTTCATGTATTGGAATGGTTTCCCTCGCAAATTAACCCAATAACTTATTAACCAATTTAAACCATCACCACCGGTATCTAATGACAACGACAACGAAGCCACAATGACTGAAACAAACACAACTCCTAATTTCTGGTTACAGCTACCCTATCTTGGCAAATTTGGTTAAAGACTAACTCGTTCGTTGATACGTAAACTAACCCCTCTCCTCATATTAAAATGCCGATTCATTATTAACTGGAAAACCATTAACAGCAACGTATTTGTATCATACAAAGATAAAACCTCGAAAACGTATCAAAGCTCTGTAATCTATGAATTTACTTGCCCTGGATGTAATGGTAGGTACATCGGCAAAACTGATCGCTGCTTATACGCCAGAACTAAGGAACATTCATATCACACTGAATCTGTAATCCATCAACACCTCTCTACTTGCGAACAGTTTCAACATATTAAAGCCCTTTTAGAACTATATCCTGACGATGAAGCAAAGTCTGAGCAAACCAGTATAATGGCTGAACATGTTTTCCACAACACTAAAATAATTGATAAATCTAACCATTGGTCCCTTTTGTTGTATCAAGAATCCCTCGCTATTCGAAGATATAAACCTGAACTTAATCATGGACCTAAAGCTTCTAAGGGCCTGTTCATATGATCCCGCTTACCGGGACGTCTCGCTTACCGAGACGAATATTTCCGTGTGTTCATATGGAGTATTTCGTCCCGCTTGCCGAGATGAAATTACATTGTAGTTCTATAATTAGCGTATGCAAAACTTCTACATTTCAGTCAAGCAACACAAATACTTGACGATTTTAGTGTTTTTCTTCGTTTATTTACAAGAAAAAGTATTGCTTCAGGTGGTTATTTAATACTTGTTTACAAAACAAACATAAAACCAAGTAAAAAGTGTTAAATTAAACCGGCAAGACTTGTTTCACTTCATCCCGGTAAGCGGGCTGGCGTGTTCATATGGAAAATTTTTCATCCCGCCTACCTATGA